GTATGAACTTAGTGGACATTATGCTGAATGAAATAAGTCAATCACAGAAGGACAGACATTGCATTAGTTCATTATTGTAAAAACTCAAGGAAAGGTTTATATATGGAAGGAAACTTTCTTTGTGGGTTACCAGGGATGGGACTGAAGGGGAGGGAACACTGCTAGATAGATAGAGACAAGTACTGATTTAGGTGAAGGGAAAGGCAATATACCAAAAGTGATTGACCGACAGAAAAACACTTAAGGAAAAGACACTGAGCGGTGCACAGGAGGTACAACAAAATGAACCTTATTACACATATAATACTGTGTTATCAGAGATAATAAACATTAATCTATGGGTAAATACAGACAGGCTGAGTGATAAGGTATGTCTAACCTGGGTTTGAACCACCAGCCTTCTGGTTAGCAGTCAAATGCCTTAGGCACTATTCCACCACAGCTCCTAAGGTATGTCTAGGCAAAGGAAATATACCCATGACCATGTATAAGGTTGGCAGGTGATATTTCACATATGCATTAGTATGTGCTGTAAGAATATCCATATATATATAATGTTGTTGTTGTTGTTATGTGCCGTCGAGTCAAACCCGACTCATAGCGACCCCTCCTTGGGTTTCCGAGGCAGTATCACTACGGAAGTAGGATTGCCCAACCTTCCTTCTGAGGAGTGGCTGGTGGGTTTGAACCGCCAGCCGTCTGGTTAGCAGGCAAGTGTCTTAGCCACTATGCTACCAGAGCTCCCATATAATAGAGCTCTAAAAAAACTCACTGCCATAGAGTTGGATTCAACTCATAGTGACCCCTCCTTGGGTTTCCAAGGCAGTATCACTACAAAAGTAGATTGCCAAATCTTCCTGCTGAGGAGAGGCTGGTGGGTTTGAACTGCCAGCCTTCCAGTTAGCAGTCAAATGCCTTAAGCACTATGGCACTAGAGCTCCCATAATAGAGCTAACAAGGGTCAAAGTTATGAAGCTTCTTAGCCACAGCAACCACCCTGAGGGAGCAAGTAGTTGGACCTGTGGCCTTAGGATCGTGGTCGCAGGGGACATCAAGTTCAATTGGCAAAACATGCTACACAACATACATTTGGGAGAAGGAAGGGGCCATCCGCTTCTCAAAGAAGTGGCCAGTGAAAACCTTATGAATAGCAGTGAAATACTGTCTGATATACTACTGTAAAACTTTATAAATAGCCCTGAAACATTGTCCACTGTAGTGCCTGAAGACAAGCCCCTCAGGTAGGAAGGCACTCAAAATATGACTGGGGAAGAGCTACCTCCTCAAAGTAGAGTTGACCTTTATGAGGTGGATGGAGTAAAGCTTCTGGGACCTCCATTTGCTGATGTGGTGTGACTCAAAATGGGAAGAAACAGCTGCAAACATCTATTAATAATCAGAACATGGAATGTAC